GTGGTTTATAGAAAGGGAAGTGAGAGAGTGGTGAGATAAAGTGACAGACAGACAGACAGACAGACAGACACACACACACACACACACACACACACACACACACAGAGAGAAAGAGAGACACACAGAAAGAGAGAAAGAGACAGAGAGAGAGGGAGAGAGAGAGAGAGGGAGAAGGGGGAGGTGAGGGAGAGAAGAGGAGACACAACAGGACACAGAACAAGTCGAGGCTAAGAAGCTCATAGAGATTATGTTACTCACCTTTGATCTTTTCCAGCAGTTTGATGGCTCGTTCAGAGGTGGTCGAGTCAGTAGTGTGGGCACGTCTACGCCGTTTTTTGTGTCCTGCCTCTTGGGCTCGAGCCTCACGTCGGGGACTCTGGGCTTCCACTGAGATCACGTCAACCTTCGGGATGAGAGAAAGATGCACGATATTTTTTCTGCCAGAATGAACTTTTGATCTGGGAAGGTTTTTCTCTCATGCTCATGCAACATTTTGTGTTTTAAGTTCGCAAATAACTTTCACTTCTACTTCTGTCTCCCGAATCATTCACTCTCTTTTCGCCATCAAAGGAGTTTTGGTTTCAGTATTGTGCGGTTCGCGAATTAAAGTCTCAAGGGACCTTTCAAAGTTTCCACTGACGAATTCCAGTTTGTCTGGAAGGAAATAGTCAATGTCACCATCTGTAGCATAATTCAAAGAGTCATCGTTTTCTGAAAATGACAGTTTATATATATAAATGTGTTCTTCGATGCATGAAAACAAATTATAGTCTATTTTTCAATAAGTTGCAAAGTTTTGCTTTTTTCACCCAACTTTGTTTGGAATTTTCAAAAACCTGTTGTTTCTCGAAAACGTCGCTTGATAATAACATTCTTTATACAGAGAAATGTAATGTCCCCTTGTTTGAATTTAGTTTGTTCCATCTGTCGTTACAATTCTTCCCACAATGCTTGGGGTTTTCCCGTTAACACGGGGAAAAAATGAAATCTACAATTACTAAAAAACCAGAAGCAGACAAAAAATATTATTACGACACTAACATTGTGCTGTTTTCTGTAACTTTGTAATACCATAATATTATGTAAACCTTTGGTTTCCAAAAGGATGATAACGTAGCACCAGTCTCTTCAAAATACTTCAGCTTCTAACATTTAAAGAGAGAGTTGTGAACTTTTCATTACCGACATTTCTCACTGTGTCAAAAAGGTGCGACCTTCTCTACTCTCCGTTTATTGAGACAAGGAGAGACAAGAAGTGCACTTTGCCAGAAAAGTCAAGCGGGTTATCCCCAAGGGACTGACACTATTTTCTGGATACGTGATGTCATGGTGGTAGTATCGATGATGATGATGATGAGGAGGAGGAGGAGGAGGAGGA